TTAACAAGTTTATGGTTTAATATTCCTGATTAATATGAGGCTCTTTAGAATACAAAACAAATTTTACATTTGATTTGAGAAGAAGATTTTAGGATTATCCAAGTCATCTAATGAGAATTTTCAGAAAATTTCACTAAAGGCATCAACTTGCTAAGATAAAGTTTTATTTTGTTTTGGCCATTAAAATATTAGTTATAGTTCTTCATCATCTACAAAATTATGAAAATTTTGGTTTTTTTCAACAAATAGTATTATTTGCTTTTTCACTTATTAGGCATTTAGCAAGAAAAATTGTTTTCATTTCCAGTAAAATTTCTGAAGGGAATCTATAGCTTTATAAGTATAGAAATCTGTTTTCAGACAATTATATTTTTGCCCAATACGCCTTGTGTTCATGAGTATAGTATGTAAAGGCCAGTTATAATGGATTCCTGATGGAAAGCTTAAAACTTAAGTCATATTTCTTGGATTGTTTTTTTATAACTATCAGAATATAAACTCTATGTTGCTGCTTAATGAACTGAGAAAAATTACCCTTTTTAGTTCAGAGTTGATTAAAGTTATTTATATATGTTGCGCTTGAGTAAATACAAAACTTAAAAGTTAATAAATGGTGTAGAAATTAAGGAGAAAATATATTCTATTACCTTACCTTAAAGTTAGTTTTGTCTAAATTATGCATTTCAGATGAGTCATTTGGCACAAAGTTGCACAAAACTTGTTTTGACTTATTACACTGTACTTTAGTGAACTTACTTGATAAAATCAATTGTTTGTAAACCCTTAAACCTTTGTTTTTAAAATATTAGTGTCATCATCTCTTTTCCTCTTTTTATTGTCTTACAACAAATTAACCAATACTTACCAATATTTTAGACCCAAAAAGTTGAGGCTATTCTTTAGTATAGCTTTTTGTTTTTGAGCCAATCATAGGCCAGAAAGCTCACAATTAGTTGGCCAGGCAGATGCAAGCCAACCTCAGCACCCTGCATCCAGGTTTTTAAGATTAGCAAGTTGATGTCACTCTTGGGGTCTGCCCTGGGCAGCATGTGTATTAACAAGGAGTGTGCGGCAACAATAGGCCATACAAAGCTGACCTTACAAGGTAAAAGTTATTACCTTACATGTAATAACTTTTGTGACATTATTAGTCTTTGCTATCTTTTCTTTTTCAAAATTATATTGATCATTTTTAAGGCATTAAACAAAAAGATCATATACCATTCTTTATCGTAAGATTTCTTTTAATTGTAATTTTTACACATTACGTTAGATTGACAAGTACTGCAGCATATGAAAATATTTTTATCAGATTTTAAATCTTAGCATTTCAGTTTTTGAAAGATTTCAAGATATTGCTAAATTCTTTTTTTTTAAGTGCCAATATTAAGTTAGGGCAATCCTTTACTACCTTTACTAATTTCAAGTGAGTAAGGAAGCATTTTAGAGATTAAAGTCTAAAAAAACACACAAATCTTTACCATCCAGTTCAATACAAATCAGATTATTTCAGATTTGTATTATGCAGAGAGAGTATATGCAGTTTATAGGGCTGGCAAATGAACTTAGTTGACCTTATTTGTACTATTTCATATTTAGTCTATTGATTTATAGATACTAAAAATGATATAACTGTTTAATTTAAGATGATATTGAATAACTTTCTCTGAAGTAACCAATGAAGAGAGAGTCCTGTCAGTGTGAAAAAAAGTTAAAAACAAATTTTTTAAAAGAAAAATTATTTTTCAACAAAATCACATGTGTTTTTTTTAAGTAGGTTAAATCAAGCTTACATTTATCCTTAATATTAAAAATCATATTTGCCCACCTGGCCTACGTGGCTCAGTGGTAGAGCATCAACCTATGAACCAAGATGTCACAGTTCAATTCCCGATTGGGGCATATGCCTGGGTTGTGGGCTCGATGCCCAGTGTAGGGCATGCAGGAGGCACCCAATCAATGATTCTCTCTTATTGATGTTTCTGTCTCTTTCCCTCTTCTTTTCTCTCTGAAATCAATAAATATTTATTTTTTAAAAAATAATATTAGTCCAGTTATTTCAAACTTTTGGTTTAAAGAGTACATATAAATTACATGATTCATCACAAGTTGAAGGTGTATGGTATTCACTAAATGCATTCATATGCAAATGAGTTTTATCTGGTTTAATATTGGAAGAAGCAAACAACTGATAATCCCATTTTTTCTCTCTATGTATATAATATAATTACATAGCAGATTTACATAGTGTCATCAGTACTTTTTTATATTAGACTGAAGATGATTAATAAAGATTTAAGTACTTTTTAGGGTGACTAATTTTCAGTTTAAAAACTATAGTATCTGGTTTTGTTTCTTTGAAAAATTAAGAATTTTATTTATGCTGTAAACATAACATTTCATTCTAATTTTCCCCGCTGGCTGTATATTTGTTTGAAACAGTCCATAACAAAAACACTGCTCAAAATTAAAATTATATTTCCTAGTTCAATTCAGAGATCTGGCCATTGAATTATGATCTTGAAGAATTATCTCACAACAGCACTTCTGCAAAAACCCAAACTTTTCAGGGGAGATAAAAACTGTTGCCCATTAACTACACTTCCTGCAGTCAGAGCAGATTGTGGGGTTTACAGAACAATGATGTCGGAGCTTCCAGATTGGTTTGGCAGCTGCATTGTTCTCGGAGGGTAAACCAGACGCACTTAAGTCCCAGTCTCTTTCATAGGCTTTTGTTCAAACCAAATTATGCTTTCACTGTGCTAGCCTTCAGGATGGCATGTTAAAGGAGTGCAGCTTAGCAACCAGCTTCTGGTTGCCAGGCAGCCCAGCTTCCAGTAGGTTTTCCTCTTTTAAAATACTTTTGGTGGGAGCTCTACGAAGGCCACAGTGCAGGTTTTTCTTTTAACTATACCCTTTTATTAGGATGCTGTGGTGATTTGTTACTTGCTTTATGGTGTCAGTGTATTACAGTAGTTAATAAATCAGTGAGTGTAAAGATTTGGTTCCAGAGTTTCTTTAATTCTAAATAATATGGTTCATGAATATCCATATTAATAGAAAAAAACTGAAATGGATACAGCCTCATCCTGGAGCAGATGTATATGGAGCTCTCCTAAGGAATATTTTTATCAGTTGTACGTTCAGGAGCCAGGAGAGTTTAATGTTTCTTTAAAACTAATGAGTGCTACATTAGTAGAACAGTGATATTAAAATTACTGTCTTCTCAAGGGGTAAAATCTGAAAAAACTCCTGTGTAAGTATGCAGGAGTTCTACACTGAAGGAATTTTAAGTGTATTGTATCAAGTGAAAGATTTCCATGTTCTCCTCTCTAGTATTTACCATCATTAATATAATTTATTTCATTGTGTAGCAATATTTTGCACTGGTAAGTTCACCAAGTATGCGTTCAGTGTGGGACTTAGAAAATCACTTAGCATTTTCTTTTAACGTTTATATAATAGCTCCTTTCTAGTGTAAATAAGATGTTAAAGAGCTTTAGAATTAAATGTTTTTTCCAGTATCTTTTTTTAGGTTATATAAATAGATGTTTTATGACAGTCTCAGATTCAGCTGCCACTGGCTTACAATATCCATGGATATACACTGAGATTGCCTTAATAAGTAAACTACTGATGTAAATACAGTTCTTCCAATGAAGCACAAGAGAAAATAATTTTATTTTGCTAACCTGTTCCTAGTAGAGAAGTAACAATTACTCCCAATAGACTCTGAGGAAAATGGTAAAGCAGCAAAAGCATTTTAAACAGTAATAGCAATTTTATAGGGGGAAAGTAGGAGAAAAGATGACTTTTTAATTAAATGCAGATAATGGTTAGTTATCTGATATGATATAGGAATATTTTCTCCTATAAAATTCAAGAAATTAACATTTGTTCAATGTACATAATTATTTGCTGATTTTTTTTTAAATTTTCACCCGAGGATATTTCCATTGATTTCTAGAGCAAGTGAGAGAGAAGAAGGGATGAGGGGGGAGAGAGAGAAACACTGACGTGAGACACATTGATTGGTTACCTCTCCCATGTGTCCCTACTAGGGCTGGGGAACCTGCAAGCGAGTACGTGCCCTTGACCAGGAATCGAGTCGACAACCCTTCAGTCTGAAGGCTGATGCGCTAACCACTGAGTAATTGGCCAAGGCTACTGCTAATTTTATGTGAAATGTTTTCTCTGTTTTCTATAAATGTGTATAGACTAAAAGAGCTTTTCCCCACTTCCTGGAATGAAATAAACTCCAGTGTCCCTGGAGCTAAAAAAGGGCAGCAAAACATTAAAAATTGCATCCTGTTGCTGTGTTTAGTATTTACAAAATAAGATTATTAGGGCAAACTATCTCTTAAATGGAATATAATTGACTTTATAATTACTTAATTTCTTATTGGCTGTTGCTGAATCTGCTCTTTCAACTCAGTACTGGAATCATTTTTGAAATGTCTTTAGATTGTTTAAATTATTAATTTTAGAATTAATGATACTTTTACAATTATAAATTAGTGTTTTCCTTCCTTTCCACATGGCTTTCTCTTTAAAAGAATTTTTACAATTTTTTATGAGTTATCTTTTTAAATGTACATAAACTGTCATAGCATATCTAAAACATGCTTTTTGATAGTATTCTATGTCACTCTAGAAACATACATAGGCCTTTCTAACAGTTGAAAAAAATCCCTTCCATCCTGGTTGAGAAGCAGCATGATTTAGTGAGAAGAATAGGAGTTTTAGAGTCAGACAAAAATTGGTAAAAAATACGGTTCACTACTTATTAGTTTGTTACCTTGGAGGGGTCACATGGCCTTTCTCATTTCTAACTTCATTTGGAAAACAAGGCTATCTTGGCAGGGGTGGTGAGGGTTGAGAGAATATGGGCTTAACATAACGAACATAGGTATTTATAGTTTGGTAATTCTCCTTTCAACTTGTATATTGAGATAAATGAAACAAATATTAAATTCTAAATATTTTACATTTTCCTCTAGGAATACGGGGTGCTTTGCATTCAGGAATACAGAAAAAGCAGCAAAGTGGAGTCAGGTACACGGAACAGCTTCATGGGCTTGAAGGATCATCTGGGGCACGACCTAGGCCACCTTTGTGTGGAGAGCACTGACCCACATTTAAGCACATCTGTACCTTGGCCAATGGTAGAAAAACCAACAATGGATAAAGTTAATTCCGGGAAGGCAGAAAAGGAGGTGTCTGAAGAGAACGCGAGCTCCGGTGACTCTGAAGAAAGCACAAATTCTGATCATGAGTCGGAACAATTGAGTAGCATTTCGGTAGAGCCATGCTTACTAACCAAGACTCACAGACAACTCTGTAGGTCTCCCTGTTTAGAGCCTCATGTCCTCAAAGGCAGTGAAATCTTACAAGACTTTCCACCCGAAGAGCCCCAGACCACACCCAAGGAAGTGAAGAAACCCCCTGACGTGGTGCGAGAATACCAAACAAAACTGGAGTTTGCACTTAAGTTAGGTTATTCTGAAGAACAAGTTCAGCTTGTGCTGAACAAACTTGGTACCGACGCTTTAATCAATGATATTTTGGGAGAACTTGTCAAACTTGGAAATAAAAGTGAGGCTGAACAAACAGTTAGTACAGTGAACAGTATAATGCGGGAAACGTCGTCCCTGGAATCTCAGCGGTCTGATTCTCCGATGCAAGAGATTGTCACCGATGATGGAGAAAACCTGAGACCGATCGTTATTGATGGCAGCAACGTGGCAATGAGGTAAGGGGGGAAATCATCAGTGATTACTACCACGTCATCTTTAAGAGGTATTTCTAATTTTGTGACTGTTTCTCTTCTAACAGTTGTTAAAGTCAAGTTTATTCTGCATCCTAACATTAACTTACATATGTCTAATTGTATCTCTTTTAATGATCTAGCTCTCTACTTCTAGAGTGGTCAGCCATTTTCTCCCCATTTGTCCCTAAATAGAGACCTCCTTCCCAGATATGTGTGTTTTTTTTCTCTTCTGGCCCTATTACTATTGCTATAAAAATTAGCATTTGTTCCTGGCTTAGTGTTAACCACTAGTTTTAAATGAAGACTTTGAGTACAATAATAGTCCACAATTTTGTTTGGCTCAGTGGATAGAGCGTCAACCTGTGGACTGAAGGGTCCTGGGTTCGATTCTGGTCAAGGGCACATGCCCGGGTTGTGGGCTCAATCCCCAGTAGGAAGCGTGCAGGAGGCAGCAGATCAGTGATTCTCTCTCATCATTGATGTTTCTATCTCTCTCTCTCCCTCTTCCTTCCTCTCTGAAATCAATAAAATTATATTTTTAGAAAAGAAAAAACACAGTTCTTTTAGAAAATAAACTATCTTTATGATTTGGGAACAAATAGTTTCAATTTTTATTTTATCTAAGAGATGTAATTCAAAAAAATTATTTAGGAACTGAGAGGGGAAAAACAAATGCAGAACTTCTAATGAAATATTTTTATAAAATATTTTATAAAATTTTTAATGGCTTAAAATTTAAAGTGCATCAAAATTCAATTAGTACTGTACAGATAACTGCCCACAATGTTTAGAACACTGGGGACATAAAGATATATGAAGGCGTCAATTATTCTTTTATAGAGCTCAGAATTTTATATATTGTTTCTCAAAAGGTGATCTAAGAACTTGTTAAAAATTTCAACAATAAAGATAAATTTTAAAAATAATTAAAGCACGTTCTAGGACAGTGCTGTCCAATGGAAATATCATGTGTAGCACATGTGTCATTTAAATTTTCTGGTACCTCCCTTGGTCCCTCCCCCATCCTCCCTTCCATTCTCTCTAAAAGTCAATGGAAAAAATACCCTCCCATGAGGATTAAAAATAAAAAAAAGAAACAGGTAAAATGAATGTAAATAATAAATTTTGTTTAGCCTGATATAGCCAAAATATCACTATAGCATATAATCAATTAAAAAATTGTTAATGAGATATTTTGAATTGTTCCTTTCATATGTCTTCAAGTTTGGCATCTTACCCTCACAGCACACCTCATTTCAGACTTTCAATACTGCATGTGCTCAATAGCCACATGTAGCTACAGCCGTGGGCAAACTATGGCCCGCGGGCCGGATCTGGCCCGTTTGAAATGAATAAAACTAAAAATAAAAAAGACCGTACCCTTTTATGTAATGATGTTTACTTTGAATTTATATTAGTTCACACAAACACTCCATCCATGCTTTTGTTCCGGCCCTCCGGTCCAGTTTAAGAACCCATTGTGGCCCTGGAGTCAAAAAGTTTGCCCACCCCTGAGCTAGCACCTATTGCACAGTGTCGTTCTAGAGACCTACCTAGTCCACACACAGACCTGTCAAGTCCAGATCAAAGAATAGACATCTCCTTTTGTAAGCAGTACCCCACTATAATGATGCATGCTGAAGTCTGAGCACCACTGTTTTTAGTAGGGGATAGCAAGTACTTCTGCATAGGGTGTAAGAAGGATCAACTTGTCCAAATAACCTTTGTAGGTGGAAGCTATATTATCTTACTTGCAGTTACAAGCAAATGAAACTTGCAGGATTTAAATTACTTGCCCAAGGTAGAATATAGTATCAATCCAAATATGTCTGACTTCAAAATCTATACATTCTTTTTTAATATTTTTATTGATTTTAGAAGGAAAAGCGATAGAAACATCAATGATGAGAGAGAATCATTGATCGGCTGTCTCCTGCATGCCCCCCACTGGGGATCAAACCCGCAACACAGGCCTGTGCCCTTGATCGGAATCGAACCTGGGACCCTTCAGTCTACAGGCCAGTGCTCCATCCACTGAGCCAAACCAGCCAGGGATATACTTTTTTTTTTTTTCATCATGTAATGAAAGACAAAAGCAAGTTGCAAAGGTTCAAGCCTGATCTTACAAGGCCTTGAATACCAGGTTAGGAAATTTAAGGTTGGCCCAAATCCAAAGGTAATGGAAGATTTTTTAGGAGGGGAATGTCAAGAGTAGAGTTATGCCTTAATGCTGATACCTGGCAGTGATGTTTAAAGTGGATTATAGGAGGTAGGAGATGAGTTTGGATGCAAACAACTGTTTTATGAAAGAGGGCTTTCAATGTCAGAGCAATGGCCCAACCAGAGTGGCTCCATTATTTGAGCATCTTCCTATGCACCAAAGAGCAGCTGTTCATTAGGGCACATACCTGAGTCGGGGCTTGACCTCCCAGAGAGTTTCTCTTTCACATCGATGTCTCTCTCCCTCCCTCCCTTCCTCTCTCCTACCATGTCCTTGGGTGAGGATTAAAATAGATGATAGATAGATGATAGATAGATGATAGATAGATAGGTAGATAGATAGATAGGTAGATAGATGATAGATAGATGATAGGTTGATAGATGATTGATAGATAATAGATGATAGGTAGGTGATAGATGGATCATAAATGATAGATAGATGATATATATAGAGAGATAGATATATGATAAATGTATGTATGTATGTCATAGCAGTATGAAGTATGTATGTGACCTTGAGAGGCCTTTCCAAAAATAACCTCTCTGTTTAATCTTTTCCAAACATGGCCGCATAATGATTTTTTTTTCTGATAATAATCCAGAACTAGTGAACAATTACAGGCAGTCCTCAGATTACGTTGGACTTGACATACATCGTTTCGTGGTTACGTCTCTATCTCCCATTTATTTACCAAAAAAAAGTTCCGTTATTTCAACGTATGCACATATGTGCTTTATGTTTTTTATTATTTATTTACCACAAGTAAAGGTCAGGAATTGTTATCTTTCTTTTAGATTTTTTTACTGTTTCACTTTATTACTGCTGTGTATGTGCTCCATGTGAGTGATGTAGGTGCTTATGTAGGTGCGTTCCGACTTACGGCAATGGCGAAAATCGCGTTATGTCACTCTGTAGGAACGGATCTCTGACGTAACCCAAGGACCTACTGTACCTTAGCATGATAATATTTAGGGTCCAAATACCATGAATTTGCTAAGCGAGAGAGTAATAAGGGAAGACGTAATAGGTCCAAGAATAGCCCCTGCAACCATAGCCCAATACCAGAATCACCAGAGGGGTTCTTACAAATCCAGGCCTCAACCCTCAGAGAATCTGACGTTTTTTTAACTGCCAAGGTATTTCTAATGCATAGCTTGGGTCAATGAACTATTCAAGATTCACAGTGTGGGTATCTACAGTCAGGAGGTAAAAGAAAGTGATAATCCAGGGAGAAAGTATTGTGAAAAATGTGTTAGAAAAAAGCACAGTGTGCCCTGGCTGGTATGGCTCAGTTGGTTGGAGTGTCATCCCATATACCGAAGGGTGGCAGGTTCAATTCCAAGTCAGGGGTATGTACGGAAAGCAACCAATCAATGGTTCTCTCTTACATCAATATTTCTCTCTTTCCCCTCCACCCCCTCTCTCAAATCAATAAGTAAATAAGTATATCCTCAGGTGAGGATTAAAAAAAAGAAGAGCCCTAGCTGGTTTGGCTCAGTGGATGGAGCATTGACCTGTGAACTGAAGGGTCCCAGGTTCAATTCCAGTCGAGGGCACATGCCTGGGTTGTGGGCTGGATCCCCAGTAGGGGGCGTGCAAGAGGCAGCCAATCAATGATTCTCATCACTGATGTTTCTATCTCCCTCTCCCTTCCTCTCTGAAATCAATAAAAATATATGAAGGAAGGGAGGAAGGAAGGAAGGGAGGGAGGGAGGGAGGAAGGGAGGAAGGGAGGAAGGGAGGGAGGAGGAAGGAAAGAAGGAAGGAAGGGAGGGAGGAAGGGAGGAAGGAAGGGAGGGAGGGAGGAAGGGAGGAAGGAAGGGAGGGAGGGAGGAAGGGAGGAAGGGAAGAAAGGAGGAAGGAAAAAGCATACTGTTAGAAAAACCAGGAGACATACAAATGGCATCAAATTCAAAGAGACTTTAAGGAGAAAATGCCCTGTGTGTTGTACTAAAAAAAAGATCAGAGGACATGACAGCCAGGAAATCCTTGTCTTCAAGAATGCCATATGATATTAAAGATAGAAGCCCAATTGCAGGATGTCAAGAAATGAAGGAATAGCACTAGACTTTTATTCTAGAACTAGGGGTCCAGTGCATGAATTTGTGCACCTTGAAAGGAATTGTGGGCCGAGAGGCTGCGGTGGGCACAGGGGCAGGTCTTGGCCCATCCTCTGCACCCCGACCCAGCCTTTCCTACCATGGCCCCAGTCCCCTGTCTGCCAGCAGCCCCGCTCCTGCCACTGCTGTTCCCACGTGCTGATGGCACTGGCCCCGCTCGCACCCGCTGATGGCACGGAGAGATTGGGGCCAGTACCATCAACAGGTTCGAGAGGCAGCTGCTGCCCCGGTTGCCCCTCAGGAGCAGGGGGAGGTGGAGAAGCCCTCAGGGACAATCGGGGCCGGCAGCCACCGCTCACACCCACTGACGGTGCCGAGTGATCGGAATCGGCGCTGGGTGCCAGCAGCGGGTGCGAGCGGTGGCTCCAATGCCAATGGCCACCAGCTCCGATCGCCTCTTAGGGCTTCTCCACCTCCCTCTGCTCCTGAGGGGAGATTGGGACCAGCAGCTGCCACTCGCACCCGCTGACTATGCCGAGCAATCAGGGCCGGTGCCGGATGCCGGCAGCAGGTGCAAGCAGCGGCTCTGGCACTGGCAGCGGTGTGAGCATCAGGCAGGACTGCAGTGCACAGGAGCAAAGAATTTTCAGTAACCACCAGAGGCTTGCCCCGATGACAGCGACTGGCGCCCCGCCTTGGTC